TGAACGGAGGCAAGGAGGAAGTCCCGCAGCCACGGGATCAAGGGCAGAGCTGTAATATGCAATTGGGCTATGCTTTTCACCATGCAGCTGAGTGAGTGCTCCTAAAGCGATTCCTTCCCGTTCATGACAAAACAAAGTAAAGGGCTTCTTATAATTAGGGAGTCCAAGAGCGGGAGCAAGAGTGAGGGCTTGCTTAAGGGCCACAAACGCTTGTTTGGCTTCAGGAGTCCAAGGGAGGGGTTCCGGGGTGGTATCATGAGTAAATGCTTGCAAGGGTTTTGCAAAAGCAGCATAACCCAGGATCCACTGTCTACAATAACCCGTTGCACCTAAGAATCCCCTCATCTGTTTTCTAGTCATGGGTTTGGGAATGTTGAGGATAGCTTCAACTCTACTAGGGCTTCTCTGGTTTTTCTGCTGCTTCTGATACAGAAACCAATGACCAGCAAAACCATCTCGCACGTGTTCCTTTTTGGGGTGTTTTGTTTTGGTTTGTTTTTTTTTTGGTGGGGGGGGGGGGTTTGTGGTTTTGCACTGCTGTTTTTCATGCCGTATTGCAGTGATCTTAAATGAAGGGCAGCAGTCATGCAACCTAGTTGCAATAGGTTTAACCCAGTCAACTCAGTGCCTTAAAATATTTTGAGGAAAGGATTCCTTAGGGTGATATCTTTTATTGAAGCAAATGCATAGTTGGGATAGTGTTAGACAAGCTTTCGAATGCAGGACAGTCTTCTTCAGGTCGCATGTTTTGGAAATAATGTAAATGCTATCTTTTGTGGTTTAAAACAACCTGAACTATTGGGAGACTCTGATTGGACATAGCTTATCCACATCCTCTCCCTATTGGGTTTTATTTTACTTGTCTTTGAAGCTTCTAGTGTTGACCACGGTTTCATTCAAGATACCAAATCACCTGGTTCACAAGTCTGATCTAGTGTGGCAATTCCTGTAACTTGTCTGAATGCTATTTCTAGTTCAACTGCTTAATTTGAAGGCTTGTGAAGCTATGATTTCAGTATAAATCCCATCAGCTTTGCCATTCATTCAGCTTACCCATCTTTTCACTCCCTCTTGTTCAGGTTCAAGAGTGGTTTGTGGCTGGTGGAAATGACAGACTCAAGCTGATTGTGTTACTATGTAGTGAGGATGATGAGAAGGTCCAGAAAGCAGCTGCGGGAGCTTTGGCCATGCTGACAGCAGCACAGAAGAAACTCTGCTATAAAATGACTCAAGTGGTAAGGAGTGAAATCTGATTCCCAAAGACTGAATGGTGTGAGCACAGAACTCCATAGCAACCTGGATTTATTCTTGTTCAAATATCCATGAATTCAGTGCCACTACCTAATGTTAAGTTTGGTAAAGGTTTGCTTTTGAATCACTGGTGATAGCTAAAGTCAGGATTCAGGTGACTGGCAGAACAGTACAGAAGTGCTTGGCTGGAAAAGCAGGAAGAATTAAAGGACATTATCAAAGTGCTTTCCTGGGCAGAGAACTAAAGCAAGACAGGCTGATGAAGGCTGCTTGCTCAGCCTCTGTTTCCATGGGCCTAATATCTCCATTTCTCAATTTAGCTATCAGTGATTCAAAAGCAAACTGTTACCAGACTTTAATATTAGACTTTAGGTAGTGACACTAAATTCATAAATGCTTGAACAAGAATAGTCTGTTCTCTGAAGAAAGCGTTTAATTGAGTACAGCAATTTGGAATTTCAAGTATGTAACAAAGACAACAGAAAAATTCTGCCAAGCTAAGACACAGTCCAGTAAGACACAGTGACAGCACACACAACTTATCCTAACTTGAAACGAAACGTAATAAGCCAAAGAGAGACAACAGAAAGCCTTGCATAGCTCTTACATAATCCTGAGGGCAGAATGTCTCAAAGTCTCCGGGGGATCTGCAGGTCATCTTAGATGATAAGGAGGAGATCCCACAGGCTTCATCTTTGCCTGGGTTTTTAGAGGTGAATTTGCACCACCTGCTCCCCCTTGAGTGCCTTGATCATAACATGCTTCTCATGTCCAGTCCATCATGTACTGCATACCCCACACAACTAATTCATTCAGTGTCTTTGTCTCTTCTCAGGGGTGTTGGTTGTAGCCGTGATGGTCTAAGGACACAGGCAGACAAGGTTCTTTGGGTAAATGTGATATCTTTTATTAGACCAACTAAATAGTTGGAAAAATTGTTCTTTGCAAGCTTTTAGGCCCAAACACCCGTCTTCAGGCTCTCTCCCTATGCCTGAAGAGGGGTGTTTGCGCATAAAAGCTTGCAAAGAACAATTTTCCAACTATTAGTTGGTCTAATAAAAGATCTCACATTTACCCAAAGAATCTTCTCTGCCTCTGCCTCTTCTCATGTATTCCAGTCTCTCACCCCTTGCAGGTTCTGCTTTGAAATGTAAATGTAGTTCCCTGCTGTCTGGTTATGCCAGCTGTTTAAGCAGCCTAGTAACCCTACCCTGCTCCCTCAGGTCACATAGCTCCAGAATCAGTTAAAGGCCCCACATTTGTGATAACTCTGCCAGGTCTTTTCCAACAAAACTGTGGAAAGGAATTTGTTCTTCTACAGTCAGAAGACACCATCTAGCATAACAGCTTGATGGGGGATGAGCTCTCATGGGAACAGAGAGAAATTTTCACGGGCTAGCATCAATTGTTCCTGTCTTAAGTGACCACTTTCTCCCCACTGAAAAGGACCTTACCTAGTGGCAGGCCAACCTTGTGCTCTTAACTGAGATTTTCCCATAATATAAAACATCTCCAGTTGGTCATTCACAGTTTTTTTTCCTTCCGTTCAGACAATTCAGTGGCTGGAAATCCTGCAGAGGCTCTGCTTGCAGGACAGTGTGGATGTTCAGCACCGTGGGCTGGTTGTTGCTCACAACCTAATCAGCGCTGACAAAGAACTCGCCAAAAAGTTGGTAGAGAGTGAGCTCCTGGAGATCCTGACAGTCGTTGGCAAACAAAAAGATGACCCCAAAATACAGCATGCTCTTGACGCAGCTCGTGAGTGCCTTGTGAAGTGCATGGACTATGGGCTGATCAAACCGCTGTCACGGGCATGAGGACATCATTGTCTATTGAGAAACGGCAAGGAAAGGGAGGCCACCAGGAGGTCTGGAAGTCTTCCAGATCTGCATAAGGACACTCAGTCCCATGGCCAAGGCTCACCAAAAAGTTGGTAGAGAGTGAGCTCCTGGAGATCCTGACAGTCGTTGGCAAACAAAAAGATGACCCCAAAATACAGCATGCTATTGACGCAGCTCGTGTGTACCTTGTGAAGTGCATGGACTACGGGCTGATCAAACCGCTGTCACAGGCATGAGGACATCATTGTCTATTGAGAAACGGCAAGGAAAGGGAGGCCACCAGGAGGTCTGGAAGTCTTCCAGATCTGCATAAGGACACTCAGTCCCATGGCCAAGGCTTTACTGAGCACTGGCTTTGTGTGTTTTGTCCTGAAAGAAGGTAAAACTTAATGATATCTAGGTACTGCAAATACCTTCAGTGCCAGGATGCAGCAAATTTCCACTGAAAGAAGCAATATGGGAAGCACATTGAACAGCTACTGCTTCAGGAAGTCTCAAAAAGGATAAAGAGAATGAGTGGACTTTTTTCAAAAATGAGAATTCTTTATTTCAGCAATTCCTAGCAGTGGAAGAACAAGCACAAGGTTTTATTTCCTCACATCAGACGTTCAGAAACTAGTTCAGATTTGTTATTTAAAAATGATTGTTTCTTCTTTTTAATTGGAATGCAGGCATTTAGCGTGTGAGAGCACTGGGTGGATTCATAATAAACAGCATCTTTGCTCTGTGGGTTCCTTGCAGTCTCCCTTTGATTTAATAAGAGTCTTTGTTAGTCAGAATTTACTGAGGGGAAAAGAAGTGAAGACAGAGCTTGCACTTTTTCACCTCAGAAATAGGCAGTGCTGTATTGTCCTCTGATTATTCATCCAATAATACGAGTCACTGATTAACATCTAGTACTGATTAACATCTAGATAAATCTTGGAGAACACTTCAGTATGTGCAGAGACAGTTGCGCATGCAGAGACATCATGCACGACTAGAGACTATGATAGACGGTCTGTCCGTAGGTAGTTAGTATTGCGAAACATTTCTAAAAGCTCTGCAGAGAGAAGGATTCACAAGGGAAGTGGATTCAGCTAGTGCATACGGAGCAATGTGACCACACACTTTTGGTATAGTTGTAGCAAAAAATAAATAAATAAATATATCGTTCCTTCATAGAAAAGACCTTATGTACCTCCGTACAATACATAAAGCTGCTTTTTGGCTCTGGGTGCCAGGCATGATAGAAGGTTAAGAGAAACTTCCTGCTCTGCAGGGACTGGATCGATACTAACACAGCGATCCTTTCCAGGCGGAACAAGTAGTATTCACACATCCTGGTCCAGCTGTCTCCTTTCTGCGCTATAGTAATTCTCAGGCAAGAACAGTGGGTGTTCAGGGAAGTAGGAGAGCAGATAGGTGAAAAAAACAGAGTCTGTCCGAGAAGTCACTGAAGGTGGGCAGCAATGGGCTGCGACTGCTGCTTCCATGCTATGTTCCATTTTATTACCACCTCATCCACACCCCATTTGTGCAGCCCATGCTCCTGACTCTGCTGCCTGACACCTACATTGTAAGCCAGGCTATTCTCTCTGTGACTCGTCTATATTATGCCTCCACAATTCTTCATTATTACAAACCCTAGGTGTTCCTATTGTATAAATTAAAAATAATGAGGGGCCAGCCCTTGGAGAAAGCTGTCGATCTGTGTGACCTGTAGTACTGAGGCAGTCTCTGCTGAAATGGTGCAGGTTATGTAAGGCCCCCTGTTACAGGCCCACAATTTGGTCTGAATACAAGAGAGGGACAAATGGAAAACCATTTTTTGGACCTGTTATGGGCATTTTGAATATATGGCCATGCCTTTTTTTGGCTTTGTAATATCTCTGCTGTATTCCAGCATTTTGCTAATGGCACTTTTGGGGGCATGCTGGATCAGTTTGTCATAATCTGCCTAGACAACATTTAATGTTGTTTCTGATGACCCAACCCATCACGTAGACAGGTTTTACAGAGGCCCCAGGAAAACCATTTATATGCCAAGCTCGAGAAATGTGAATTTGATAAAACCTCAACTGAATTTCTGGGATATATCATTTCTCCCAAGGGCCTGAGCATGGACCCACACATGGTAATTGCAGTCATCGAGTGAGTCACCGCACAAGAGGGAAGTCCAACATTTCCTAAGGCTCACTCATTTCTATAGACATTTTATATGGGGGTTTTCACACCTTAGCCCAGAGGTGGGCAATTATTTGGGCCTGAGGGCCACATAGGGAGTCTTGATCAGCTGTTGTGGGCCAAGTCAGCACCGCCACTTACCTCCCGCCTCCCCAACAACTCACCAAAACTCCCTATTCGGCTCTGAGTGGGTAGGAGTGGGGTGGGAGGAGCAGAAGAGGCTGGGGTCACATGTTCCTGCCCTCTGGGGTACATGTACATGTGCCGCAAACCATCAGGTGCTGCTCTACACCCCCCACCTCCAGTTTCATAGATTTCATAGACATTAGGGATGGGAGGGACCTCGAAAGAAAGAGTCCAGCTCCCTGCCCCAGGGGCAGAAGTCACCTAGAGTCAAAGGGTCCCAGCAAGATAAGCGTCCAAACGTTTCTTGAAAGTGTCCAGAGTTGGTGCTTGCACCACCTCTGGGGGCAGTCTATTCCAGGCCTTGGGGGCTCAGACAGTAAGAAGTTTTTCCTTATGTCCAGCCTAAAATGATCTTGGAGGAGTTTGTGACTTTTGGACCAGCTTAGTCCAAAAAGTTGGAGTGTCTTAGTTGGAGTGCTCTGGTGAACAGGCATTGCCCCAGATCCTGATGCACGCCCCTGATGTACTTATAGGCTGCCACCAGGTCCCCCTGGAACCTGCGTTTTTCCAGGCTGAAGAGTCCCATGGCTCTCAGCCTCTCTTCATAAGGCCTGTTCTCTTGCCTTCCGATCATGTGCGTGGCTCTCCTCTGGACTCTTTCAAGCTTCTTCACATCCATCTTGAATAGTGGAGCCCAAAATTGGATGCAGTACTCCAGCTGCGGCCTCACCAAGGCCAAGTACAGTGGGAGGATGACATCCTGAGATTTACTTGAGAAGCATCTATGGATGCAAGCCAGAGTTTTGTTCGCTTTACCAGCTGTGACATCATTGGTGGCTCATGTTCATCTTGTGGTCAATCATGACCCCCAAGTCCCTTTTGGCC